CCCCACCCAGCTCAGGCTTCCTTTTCCCCTGGCCTGGAGGCAGCCCGTAGGCTCCAAGGTTAGGAAGGCCCAGTCTTCTTCTGGGGGCACCCCAGCTCACTCTGGCCTTCTGCCTCAGCTGAGAAGGTGATTAAAATCTTCTGAACCCTGGCCAAGCTGGGCCAAGACACTCTCTGGACTCTGGGACTGCACCCTTTCCAGGGCCTGAGGAAGGAGGGTGGGAGGCTGCACATTTCTTCCCTGCCCTATGCTAGGCACCCCCGGGGTGGGGCTGGGGGCTGCCTGGGGAGAAAGACCAGGAGACAGCCTAGCTGCTGACACCCCCAGGTGCTGCAGCAGCCCTGGCAGACCCCTCGCTCCCATCAGCTCCACTCAGTTCCAGGAGCCTGGGCAGACTGTCCCCAAGGCCATGGCCCTGGTCTGGCCAGGCCCTGCCCCCGCGTGGCCGGATTTAGAACCAAGAACAGGTCAGGCTTTGTAGAGTCCTGCAGAGAAAAGGACGAAGAAGGGGGAATCCGATGTGGGTCCCGATCCTAGCCCAACCTTGCAGACAGTATGGCAGGGGGAACAGTTATGGGTAGGTGGGGGCCAAACAGGAAGAGAGGAGCAGTTTTCATTTTGTTGATAGTGAAAGGTTGGAGGGCAGTTTTCAAACCAAGCCAAGCTTCGGGGAGTCTTGTGGCCGATGCTGGGCTTAGGGGACCGGCACTGGGATGCAGAAGTGTTGCTCCTAACCTTGGCTTCCTACAGTGGGCTGTATGGTGGATGGTGAGACGTGGGCTGCCTGGACACCTCCTTAGGCTACTGTGTTTTGGAACAGACTTTGTTGCTGGGGTCCAGGGTACTGGAGAGAGGACTTTTTCTGCCAACCTTTGCCACAGCCTGGAGTCCCACTTCAGCGAGGAGCTCTGCCTACCACAGCCTTTCCAGCAAGCAGGGAGGTGCAGCAGGAGACCCAGGATCACTTGAACTCTTTTTGGGAAAGGGCCCAGTTTGGGAGGGTGAGCAAGCTGCTCCTCGGTGCTATTAGTAAGCATCATAGTGGGCAGGCAGGAAGGGGGTCCCCAACTCCAGGACGCCCTGAGAAGCCCATGAGGAACAAAACCAGCTGGAGCCTACCGTGCACTCCCAGAGTTTACTGTCTTGGACTAGAGGGTCACTTTGCTTGGCTTGGACTTGTGCCCCATGCCAACTCGCAAGGCCTGGCCTCTGAAGAGGTCTGCACTGTGGTGTGTGTGTGCCCAGAGGTGCAGGGTCCTAGCCAGCCCAGCCACCTGTCCAGGCTCTCGGGGCCCCCGGGATGCACTGACCTGACCAGATTCTCACTGCTTCCCCCCCGCCCCCGTTCCTATCTGTGCCCCTGAAACTTGGCCATGGGCTTTCAGGCACTCAGACTGTGGGCTCAATTGGATTCCAGGTCAGGTTTTGTTCACCCTCCAGTTCCTGCTCAGAAAAACTCTGAGTAGCTAAAAGAATAAAAGCACATCTCCCTTAGTTTACATATGGGCTCTCCTCGGAGATCTAAAACTGCCCTGAAAGGGTCCAGACCACCAGTCCTTGCCTCACCCCCATCACAGGAGCATTGAATTGGGCTGAGATGGGGGTCTCCATCTCTGGGCACCTTCTCCTGCCTTACGTTAGGTGGAAATGTCTCCCAGATTTGAGCAACAGAAGGCTTGGAGACCACCAGGGATGTTTGGGGACAATCTGGTTTGGTTCCCACCACACAGAGAAAACGGAGGTGGTCTTGGCACCCAGCAGGGGACTCAGTGGGGACTGAATGCAGAGGTCTTCCAGCCCTGGGGCCAATAGCTAGCTGGAGTGTTGGGTCTAGAATGGGGGTGGGGTGGAGCACAGACAGCCTTCAGGGCATTTGCCTTCCCCAGGGGGGCTTCCACACCGTTCCAGAGTGGGCACTTCCCAAGGGGCCACCCAAGACTCTGGGGGTAATAGTCCAGGCCCTCTTTGGCCCTTCTTCCCACCCCGAGCCCAGGGAAACTGGCTGAGACCCACCGAGCCCAGAGGCTGCTGTTTTCTCCCTGTGCTGCTCACGGCTCAGGTCCCCCAGTGCCCACAGCCAGTCCCTGCTCTGGAGTGGGCCCTGAGAGTGTTGGGCACTCTCAACCAAGACTTCCCAGGAATGTGAACCATGCAGTCGATTTTGAGCAAACCCCAGATGTCTGGAAACCTACTGCCTTCACAGGCGGGAGGACTTGGTCCCTTGCAGATGGGCAGCCTCTTGGGAGGGGCCCCAAGAGACTTCTCTGCCCTCATCTGCAACCCGGGGTCCTGGCCGGGGAGCACGGATGCATGCCTCTCTGCACCTGGGGTCGGCCACGTGCATTTGGGGGAGGTAATCAGGAATATTTTTGTTTGTTTTGTTTTTAATTTAAGAGATGGAAGCTGTGGGCCTGAACTCCCCATTTGAATTCCCTGGGAGGGAGTTGGCTGCAGCATTCCGGGCCCAAACCGCCTCTCCAGGAAGCGCAGGAAGCCCCCAAATACTGCTTCCCCGGGGCGCGCACAGTGGGCCGGGGCGAAGCGGCGGCTCGGCGGCCCGGCTCCTGCCCTGCGCGGGGCTCCGGCTACTGCTGCGGGAGTAGCGAACCGCGTCGGTTTCCCACGCTTTCTCTCTATCCCAGACCTTTAAAAATCCGCCAACGAACGCCATTGCCGGTTCGCGCCGGTCTCGAGCCCTGAGCTCGGCCGGCGCCGCCCGCAGCGGGGACTTCGCGCCGCGCTCACCCTCGGGGCCGCCCGCCTGTGCGCGCCGGGAGCCACTTGGTCCCCTCCCCGAGCGCCCCGGCCCAGCAGCGCCGCAGAACTTCGCGCAGCCGAAGTGGCACCGCGGCCCCGCCGAACGCTGCCAGCGTGGACGCGGCGGCCTCCTGCTCCCGGTTCCGGCAGCGTTCCGGCAGGGGCCTGGTGGCAACGAAAACGGCGAGCCGAGTCGCTTTCCCCGCGTCCGAGTCCCGGGGGCCGCTGGGTGGGAGTCCGCCCTCCGCTTCCCCAAAAGCCCCAGAGCCCGGGACATTGTAACTTCGCAGACTCCCCAAGTCGGCTTGCGCCCCGATTCAGAGCCCGGTTTGCAGAGCCCCCTCGTTTCCGTCCTCTCGGCCGTGGTCCCTGCCCCCACACGGACAACCGTCCTTGTTTAGAAACCGAATTTCGCCGCGGGTCCTGCGGGCTCGACACACCGCAGACGTTTCCCTGGGAATGCTGCAGGGACTCCTTCCCGCCTCGGCTGCCCCATCTGTGAAGTGGGGCCCAACATTCCTGTGCCCCTCTCACAGGTTTATGTGGGCAGGTTGGAGAACGGACGGACTGATGGAAAACCCCAGGCAGGGCGAGCGCAGCCCAGCCCCTGGGGCCACGTTTGCGCCGGCGAGGCTCAGAGGTGGTGCCCAGCCTGAAGAGGCCCCCGGTTGCTCTTGAGCAACCAAGCCTGTCCCGCCCTTTGCGCCCCGCGCCCGCACCGCGGAACTGTCCTCTCCGGGGGCTCAGTGAAGGTGGTGTGAGGGTCCCGCTCCGTGTCCAGCCGTCTTCTCCCCGCCCCTGCACGGGGTTTTGCTCCCCCGGCCCCACGGTTCTCGGTTCCTCCCGGCCAGGATGCAAGGAGGCTTAACACCCCAGGCTCCAGCTCTCAGTACCTTACCACCCCGCACCCCAAACCCTGCAGAGGGCGGGTCCTGGGGCTGCCGGGGAGCGGGGACAGGCGACCGAGGTCCTAGTCACAGCTGAGTTCCTCAGAGGGAATGCTCCCCCTCTCCCCCCTCCTCCCCACGCTTTGGGGACTGCGGAGGGAGCTCCGCGCCAGGTGCCGGAGCAGGCGTGTCCCGGCACGTGACCTTGGGCCTTCGGTTGTCCGTACTCTACCCCGCCCGATGGTGACTTGGGGGGGGAACCAAGGGGAGGGGCCATGGCCTGACTGGACACTACTCTGGGTAGGGCAGATGGGGGAGCGGGGGAAGGGAAATGGGATGGCCAAGGGAATGCCCAGAAGGACACCCTCTCACCTTCCCCCCCCTTTGTTGCTTCTAAACTAGTAATGGTGGGGGGGGGGTGCCTGACAAGACCAGGATCCTCTCTGGGGAAGGGAAATATTTACCTTTCTCTCCTGCTGAGTAACCTGAAAGTGATGGACTCAGTCCTCCCTCCCTGGACAGGGCCTCCTGCTTCTGCCCCAGGGCCTGATGCCCGTGACCTGGGGCTCTAGGAAGGGAGCAGGGCCCATGCCTCTCCTGCCCTGGTGCCTGATGCCCAGACTTGAGCACCTGCAGAGCTTGCCACTGTCGAGCTCCCCACCCCATCCTTACCTCCTGGACAAAGTTCCGATGAAGGACCGTGGCCCAAGTGGCAGGAACACATTTGTGCACAGCCCCATGCCCCTGCAGCCCAGGCCAGTCAAGAGACCTCACTGAGGACCCACTGTGTGCCAGGCCTGGGGCTAGGGTGGAGATGGCAGGGTCCTGGCCTTGAGCAGCTCTTCATTCATGGGACAGACCCCTGCTCCCCCAGGATAACAGCAGAATTACGATGGGAGTGCAGGGTGGGGAGCCGCAGAGGGATGGGGCGCATATAGCCTTTCCTGTTCCCCTCCCTGCCCAGGTCCAGGAGACAGCGTGGGGGGGGGGGGGGGGGGGTGGTGGTGTAAAGACAGAACTTCAGCTGAGTCAGACCCAGCTTCTTCCTGACTCCCTCCTTACTGGCCTTCCTTCCTCTCAGCCCCCAGCTTCCTGGGCACCCCAGTTTCCTTATATGTCATATGGGGGAAACAAGCCAGGGGTCTTATGCTGCATGCAGGTGAGGGCTGGCACTTCTTGGGGGCTCTGGGTGGTTGGAGTTGTCATTAGTAAGGATCCCTGTGTCCTCTGACCCCTCCTCGTCCAGAACTCAGGTCTGCCTCTAGGGGCTCTGAGCTGGCAACATGGAGAGCAGCTTCTCACTCCCTGGCTGGACACAGAGGGCAAGTCAGACCGGGAAGGACAGGGCTCCTGGGAGCTTCAGGTCCCGCTCACCCATGCAGATCTTAATGGGCTCCCAGAGCCAGGCCCCACCCTGCCGACCTTGGCCTGCCCTAGTCTTGCCTGGTCTCCTGGCACTTGTGATCAGTGTTTCCGCCAGGTCCGCCCCTGCCCTCCAGGACGCCGAGGCTCTGGGGTCATTCCTGCATTCGCTGACATAGGGCCAGAGGCCCCTGCAAGGTGGATGCTCCTGGAACGCACAGTCCCATGGTGCTGTCAAACACAAGGACTGTTTGCCTCAGCACACCTGCAGCTTCCAGCGCATCTAATGCCCCTACAAAGCCCAGGGCTGGCCCAAGTCTGGGAGCCTCAGTGAATGAAAGAATGAGTCACTCACGAATGAAGAGCACTAAGTAAGAAGGAAGTGATCCCTACGTCTGATTTCAGCCCTGAAGACTGAAGGAGATGTGGGGCAGCCTTACCAGACATCACAATGGAGGCCAGAAGCCCCTCACCGAGGGCCTGAGGCCGAGTGACCTGTCCTTCACCTGTCCCAACTCGCAAAGGGCCGCCCTGTATTCAGTAGCCTGCACCAGTCCCTCATGATGGGGACACAGCAGTGAGCCACCCAGGTCCCCAGCTGCATGGCGCATGATTTGGAAAAGGAAGCCAGCTTGCTCAGGGGGGCCTCAGCGAGATGATGGGGGCAGGGGATGATGGCAGAAGGGCAGAAACTTGGTCTATCCACGGGGCTGTCCGGCTTGAGTGATGGAGGGCAGGAGAGCTGGGGCTCTGGGGCCAGCAGGGTGCTGGTCTCTGCCCCGGGCTGTATCAGGCACCGTGTGACCCTTACAACAATCCCACGTGGTAGGAACTGCAATTGTTTGCACCTTACACACGGGAAACTGGAACTTAGAGGTACAAGGACATGTCGTAGAGGCAGGAGAGTGAGATTCATCTGCCTGATCCAAAGCCCTATTCCAGGTGACATGCGCAGCCACGTGATGGTGTCCAGGGTGCGTGCGGACACAGGCTGCAGAGGGGTCTGTGTTTGGAACCCCTTCTTGGGGTTTGTGCAGTGCCAGGCGTGTGAGCTCCAAAGAGCATGCTGGCCTTGTGGTCACCCACTTGCTCCCAACACTGACCAGGACATTTATTTGTGGGCTTCTAGAACAACTGAGCCATTCGCAATACGTATTTTCTCCAGGTCCGGCTCTCACTGGGGAGCCAGGGTCCCCCTTTCCTCCCCGACACCCACCCTCAGGGCAGCCACCCCAGGACTGTTCTGTGGCCGTCCCCGGCGACAGGCTCCACACCCGAGCCTTGGCTTTGTGGGCTCAGTTTGGGGCTAATATGCCAAGCAAGTGATGCTCAGTATCTGGGCTTCTACTAAGGTATTTCCAATCATAAAAAAATATCTGTGTCAGGGCGCCTGGGTGGCTCAGTTGGTTAAGCGACTGCCTTCGGCTCAGGTCATGATCCTGGAGTCCCAGGATCGAGTCCCGCATCGGGCTCCCTGCTCGGCAGGGAGCCTGCT